CTAAATTTTTTTGCCCTAACCAGTTTTTCTTTTATCTAAACAGATTATGTTAAAATATGACTTAACTGTTAAATCTTGAGTTTAAATCTAATTGCAATATTTATGTAAGCATTATTCAATGGAAATTAATACATATACTTTACAAAATTATATACTTTGTTACATATTGACAGTCTTCGTTGTTATTCGTTACACACTTTCCTTGTAACTCTCTAAATACATTTAGCCCTTTCTTTCTCTCTCTCCTTTCCTTTCTCCCTTTCCTTTCTCCCTTTCGCTATTCCGACCTTAGACACATAAAATAACTTTGTTTTTGGAATGATATAGCAAAAAGTGGAGTGCATGTGAGTGGAGCCAATCCGTAGAAAAGGGAAAAGAAAATAAGGGAAATTTCTACAGTTTTAGTACTGTGTGCAGCTTTGTCATTTTGTTCAATCTACAAAAGTTCACCATTGGATTGAATTGAAATTTTGTTTGAGTGTTCAAGAGACATTGATCTACATTTTGAACGGTCAGTTTTTTTTTAGAGTTTCATAGGTTTTGATTTTATACCTAAAACAATAGTTTGTTTTTGGTAATATGTTTTTTTGCGGTTTTAGTACTGTGCGTAGCTTTGTCATTTTGTCCGATTTGCAAAAGTTAACCGTTGGATTGAGCTAAAACATTGTGGGTGTTTAAGAGATATTGATTTATATTTTGAATATTAGTTTTTCATTTGGAGCTTTGTAAATTTTGATTTTGTACGCAAAACAGTAGGTCAATTTTTGTGAACCATTAGTGTGTCATGGATTAAGTAACGGAGATCATTAGTGTGTAGCGAATTAAATAATAGAAACTATTAATGTGTAATAAAGTGTATAATACAGTAAAGTATATACATAAGTGAGTTTATTCAATTCCATGTTTTCATGCATTTTATAAATATAATATTTCTAGAGTATCATTTCGTTTGAATTGGTTCTATGAGCTTTATTATTTTTGTATATTAATGAAATTTTATTTTTAAAAAAAGTTTTACCTTATATTCTAAATTATATTAAATTATAAAATATAAATTATATATTTAAATGATAAAATAGCTTTTAATTTAATGAAATTGGCATCTCATTTAATAGTTTAATTGTTTAAGAAGTGGAGTTTTGGCCCCATTACATACCACTTTTTTTAAAAAATGTGAAATGGTTAGCCTTAAGCTTTAGGGTTTGGGTGAGGTGGAAGCCAGCACTTTAAGTTTTACCACCGTTGTAAACTTCACGTCGCGCATATCTTCTGAGAGGGTGGATTGTTCATAAGTCTCAGTTGCTAATAACTAACTCTACTAATTTCTTAACCATTACCCTTGTGAAAAAAAAAAAAAAAAAAAAAAAAACAGAAATGATTAATTATTCTGAGGAGGGTTTGATGACTAAGTTAAAATAAAAGATTAAGTCCAAGGTTTATTCCTAATTAATATGAAGTAGCCGTTGAAAACTTGAAATACCGTGGTGCTGCTGAGGTCCTAGCCCCAAATCAGAGAATGGGAGAAAAAGGATAGAGACGACACTGATTGAGCCCAGAATTTCAAGGGATAGGAGCTCTCTCTCCTTCTCTTGAAACCCTAAAGGGCAATTTCACCTTGATTTCTTCGATTGGGCGCGGTGGTGAGTTGAGAATGGCAGAGTAAGCAAGTTCTGGGGAATCCTCTTTCTGAACCCCTTTCATCTATCCCACCCTTTGTTGGTGCTTACATGAGAGGGGCTTCCTTGCAATTGAAAGGGTGTATCTCCTTCCATTGATTATCCGGTATGTGTGAGTCAGTAATGTATTTCCCTTGTTTGAGTACATCTCCTTTGATTCTAAGTTCTCGTTGCCTTCAGATTGGCTCTCTATTTGATTTTGCTGTTCAATTGTCTTTATCTTTTATTTGATCATCTGCATTTCCCATTCTGGATGGCAAAATGCTTCTAGTAGTAAAATGCTATTGGTCATCAATGAAGTATATGGCTAATGGCTACTGACACTAAGTAGCTCCTTGATGTGTTACACCTAATAGAATTCTTATTGCCTACCAAAAAATCTATGGCTACTGGCTACCATGAAGTAGTTCCTAGTAGTAAATTGCAATTGTTCACCCATAAAATATATAGCTACTGGCTGCTAAAAACAAGTAGCTCCTGGTAGAAAAATGCGATTGGTCACCCATAAAATACATGGCTACTGGTTACTAAGAACAAGTAACTCCTAGTAGGATATTGCGATTGGTCACCCATAAAATATGTGGCTATTGGCTACTGAGGGCAAGTAGCTCCTAGTAATAAAATGCCCATTGCTACTTCATAAAATGCTACTTCATAAAATTTATGGCTATTGGCTGCTAGGAAGTAGCTCCTAATAGTAAATCTCTATTGCTCCTTTTTAAAATCTATGGCTAATGGCCACTAAGAACAAGTAGCTCTTAGTAGTAAAATTCTCATTGCTAATTCATATATTGTGTGGCTACTGGCTACTAAGAACAAGTGGCTCCTAGTAGTAAAATGCTTATTGCTCCATAAAACATATGGCTACTTGCTACTAAGAACAAGTAATTCCTAGTAGTAAAATGCTTATTGCTCCATAAAACATATGGCTACTTGCTACTAAGAACAAGTAATTCCTAGTAGTAAAATGCTTATTGCTCCTTCGTGAAATATATGGCTGTTGGCTCCTAGTGGTAAAACGTATATATGGCAACTGACTACTGAGAACAAATAGCTCCTAGTAGTAAAATCTCTATTGCTCCTTTGTAAAATCTATGCCTACTGGCTACTTAGAACAAGTAGCTCCTAGTAGTAAAATGCTTATTGCTTATTCATAAAATCCTATGGCTAATGGCTACTTAGAGCATGTAGCTCCTACCAGTAAAATGTTAGTGCTCATCGATGATGGATTGGCAGTAATGCTTGAGAAATTCTTCCAGCATCAAATGATGGCTTTGGGGTTTTCACCCTTATTTTCATACTATGTCCCTAGACTTGTTGTCAGCGTAGTGAAGATAGTTCTGCAAACTGCAAAGACATGGAAAGGTGAGATTTTTTCATGCAGTTTGTGTTTGTATTTGAAATGGTTTTGTGCACTGATTTAGTGGCTGTGATCTGTCTTTCTATAACATTAACATAAGAACTTATAAGATTAGTTTGGGTTTAGTTCTTGGAAGTGCTTCTTTGACCTGGGCTGTTCTAACTTGTACATTCTTAGGAATATGATCTTGCTTTCTCTTTCTGCCTTTTTAACTATAGTTTGTTCCTTTTGATTCATTTTTTATTTTATTTTATTATTTATTTTTCTTTCACTTAAACTATCCTTTCATAAAATTTTCCTCCTAGACAAACAAAATGTCTCATCAACAGTTGGAACATGATATTTTAGCTGTTTTTGTAGAGTGGATATCTTTGCTGATCAGAAAGAGAGAAAAGTACACAAGATGCACCGGGCCTTTAGAGGCTAGTTGATTGGTGCGTCTATTGCCTTGGCTTATGCCAAGGTTTGAATCACAGTGATGCTGTGTTAAAATCCCCTTTCCCCTCCCCTCAAATTGTGTCTGTTCCAAAAAAAAAAAAAAAAAAAAAGAAGGAAAGTAGAAAAGATATCTAGTGGCTTTGAAATTTCATTTTTTTATTGAACTTCAAGCATGTGTCTTCTACATGAAGTATTATTTACCTGGGTAGTCATGTCTTCTTGCAGATTAAATCTGTTTTCAGAGCATAGATCACCTTGGTTGTGCTTGGGATGCTAAACTTTTGGAAAATTGGGATTTTGTGGCAGAGAGGAGTTGTATGTATTTAGACAGCAAAACAGGATAACATTGCAGATCCAGAGAAGCTTGAGCCCTTTGGCTCCAGAGCTTTTACACTATAAGTTGAGCAGGTAGGATCAAAGAAAAACCAGCAGTTATGGAAGTGATATGCTAAAATTGCATTAAGCAAGTTCAGGCGCAATGTTGCATAATTATGTTTTGTATTCACTTTATCTGCTCCTTTCGCTATTTGATTTTAGTCGATTTATTTTTCTTAAGAATTCTTTTTGGAACCTGAATTGGAAATCATTTTTAATCCTTTTGTGTTAAAAGTTATATTTGCAGGAGGGTTGGTGGACTCAAATTCAGAGAGTTTCTTGGTCTTGAGGCTTTACGAATTCCAGGTGTGAATTTTACGACTAGAACTTTTTAGGTTTACTTAGTCGCTTTATATGATCTTATGGTCAGCACAACAAGTTTGCTTGATTAAGAAATGTTTGTAAAAAATTTAGAAGTTAAAATGTGAATCCTTGCACATTACCAATGGTGACATTCATGATCCATGGAATTGCAACTTTTTCTTTTATGAAAAAAGAAACTGATACTTTTCCAAAGTATCAATTATAAAATTAAAATATATATTTTTTAATGAAATCAGGTTTCAATGTATAATTTTAAGACTGGTTTAGAATCAATCTAAAACATTCTATAGCTTTTTAGAGCCCTACAATGGGTAGTAGTGTTTGCAAGAACTCAATAGACCCATATGGGAGGTTCCCTACATGTAATTGACGTCAAATATGCCTTTATTGGAATTATATTGTAGAAAAGTATTAAGGTAGCCTGACACATTGCTTCTGACCCCTGAAGAAGGTTGTTGTTGTTGCTATTATTAGATGGACTACATGATGAAGTTTTTACAAGTAAAAATGGATTATTATAACCCTCTACTTGATAATTTAAGCAGTATGAGATGATTATGGTTGCTTTTCTCTTATCAAAGTTTTTTATTTATAAACATGGGAGAAAATTACAAAAGAATGAAATCAAAGCTTTGGTTCTATGCTAAGATGCTAAATAATCTACTGTGCAAATGCATTTATTCTAGCATTCACTGTTTTGTAATATGTCATTAATGGGATGGGTATTTCCCATTTTGGATGATGGCTTCTGTTATTTTCTAATTCATATTTGTTCTTCATTGTCACTTGCAGAAAGGTATGCTTGTTTCTGATGCAGCCAGCTCAGTTTGATAGTGTTCTGCAAAAGATTACAGAGTTAAATAAAGCTCTACAATCTGACCTAGTAGGTTCTTCAATCCCTGTTCTTAGCATCTTCCTTTTCTTGGTGTTAATTTCTTGTTTTGGCTGTAGCAGTTTTATGTTAAGACAGTTTTTTCATGACATCTTATTTATTCACTTTCAAGCCAGTTTTCCTAATAGAAATACAAGTCGCTTGTTGCTTATGTTGTTAGAGCTCTTTGCATTGCCAGAGCTTTAGTAGTGAAAATATAGCCTATTTTGGCCTCTACTAGTGTTTACTTCAGAATCAAATATCATACATGATGCTGCCAGGGCAAACATTATTTCAGCATTTTAGATCAATCCTTGCATCCTATGGAAATGGGTTTTCATTTGTGACCTAATTGTGTCTCATGCATTTTCTGGTTGATCCGTCTGGCCCGTCCTGGAGACCAGCTGCTTGATCTTTTTATATTTCTACTCTGTTAGTTTCTTTTGTCCCTTTGTAGTTCTCTTGCATACAATCTTCTTCATAATGTAGTCATTGAAATTGTTGTAAAGGAGAAAAAGAATATGTCTCTGATTAGACTTGAGATATTCAGACAGGGTGCCACAAGTGAAACTTCACATTACCCCTCCAGCAGCTCTCATGTTGACATTGCTTTGTTGCTAAAATTGATGAGAGATCACAGCCACTTGAAATGATGTTTCCAGGTTAGTCTGCTTTACTTTTAATCTTATAATTTATGATCTTTTTAAGTTCTTTTTTTTATGTGCAATCTTGATGAGCATAGGTTCAATCTTTGTTTTATTTTCTTTGGTTGGACAGTGCATGTGGTGTGGATAATCCTTCTGATCTCATAACTTCCTAAATCCTGGTTCTTGCTAATTGAGTTGGCTGGCAATTTATGTTTTATGAACTTCTCTTTCTCAATCAAAAGATGGATTTATTGCAATCTTTTTGATCTTGTTAACGCTCCACTTTCATGTTGTCTAATTATCTTATAAGATTATTAGCTGTATCATATACCTTTGGAACTCTTTGCCTCTATATCCACACTATAAATATAAACCTAATTGACAAGATGTACAATTATCCATTTTGATTGAAAGAGACTTCAGCCACACACTATAGTCTGAAATGGCAACACCATGTGCTCCTTCGATTCCTGCTAGGTGACTGTTTCGCGTTGCTCTAAGGCATGTAAATTTGTGCTTCTACTTGTGGTTGCTGATATTCTGAAAACGATCATCCTGAATCCTGATGGTGCAAGTATTGCAAGCATGTGGGAATGAGAATGGTAGAGCTGGCAAAAAATGATTTAATCCTTTTTGTCATCTTACGTATCTAAAACTAAAATTTACTTATAAAACTTTCTGTTGATTGATTAATGAACTATGGATGACCTTAAATCAGGCCTTAAAATGTTATACCAGTTTCTCATGAGATGGGACTCTTTGGGGTTTGCCTTTCTACCTTCTTTTCTATATTTGTGCATGATATTTTGAGGCTACACAATAAAAGGCCTTAAAATGTTATACCAGTTTCTCATGAGATGGGACTCTTTGGGGTTTGCCTTTCTACCTTCTTTTCTATATTTGTGCATGCTATTTTGAGGCTACACAATAAAAATAAAAATAAAAAGGAAAAGGAAAAAAAAAAAACCTAAAAAAATGTTGGTTGGTAAAGTGCTGCTAAACCTAATTTATGTGTCAAGATTGAATTGTCCATCGGCATTTTCTTTAATTGAGAGAGACAAAAGGTGATTCTTTGATTAGGAAAATTCCCAAAATTGGTGGTTCTGAAAATTACACTTCCAAAACATGATGGTTTAGAAACTTTTTTTTTAAAAAGGGTTTAACATTGAGAGTTATTCCAATTTATGACCTTACAAACTTAATTACTCTTCTTCTCACTGAATCATTCTCCTACTGTAATGTTTCCTTCCCTTCTTCACTCTAATTCTCACCATACCCAGATCACAGGAATCAATTTTTTTCATTAACAGAGTGGTTCCAAACTGTAGTTTGTATTAGATAATGTCAAATTTTCATTGTTTTAATTTACTTACAAAAATGAGTACTTTGAGTTAATATTTCAAATTAATCCTTTTTCTTGTAATTTTGGGACAAATATTAAATTGACTTCATAATCTGTCATTCATTTTGATACGGTTTCTCTTTTGCATGCTCTTTGAACTAAATGGTATGATCCTTCATTGTTAAGTACCTTTATGATGTTTTCTGATTGATGCATGCTTATATAGATGTCTGATACTTGAGCTGCAATATGAGAGGGCATTTGTTACTTAGCTTTTTTCTTGCTTATGTTATGAGGGAACTGTATGTTTTTTCTGTTAAGTGTGCTATACAAGGAGAAAGCGTGCTTTATAATCAATAAACATTCCAGTTTTATCTTTGTCAATAATTCACTAGGAAACACATATCTAAATGGAGTTGGAAAGGATTGAATCTTTTCTTTTTCTAGAACCATCCAGCTAGTCAATTAGGAATTCCAGTGTGTAATACTAAAAGATGTCAATTCATTGTTGTAAAAAGGAAGGAACAATTAATTTTAGTCTCTTTTGTTTTCATTTTCATTGATGAATCCTTGTGAGGTTGTTAATAACCCATACAGCTGGAATGATGTACACGTACCAAACACAAAGATGTCAATCTAGCTGATAACGATTTTTTGTCTTGGGACTTTGAAGTTTGATGCAAAGCTCCTGCCTCATGATTCATTTTGTAGCAGTGAAAATAACTGAAGAGACTTGTTTTTCCTCTTTTCATTCAACTCAATTTTGCAGCATTCAAAATTCTATTGTGCAGAAATGTAGTGTATTCATGTATAGCTCTATTTTGATTCACTTTTCAGCCACACTGGATTGGAAACAACGAGTTATAATAAACACCTTGATACGTAGATTCACTTTTCATATATACTTCTTCATGTATTTCCCTCTGTCTCTTTTTCCTTGCGGCCAGATTTGCTTCATATTTCTCCTTCATCATCAATCTGGACGTAGATTCAACTTGATACGTAGCAGAAGTGTACAAAGCACAAGTTATAGCTACCAGTCATGGAGTTGTCTCTAACATTATTCCCTCAAAACATGGTACATTTTATATATGGTTCACAGTTCTCTTTTTTGAATAATATCTTCTAGAATAATGACACAAGTGCAAAAGTAAGGAAAAGAGTCCATTCCATATTCTTTTACTTGGTGTTTTTGAATAGTTTACGGAACCGCAATTGCTGAAAAATGTGTCTAGTTCTACAATAATTTTTTTTTTTTTTTTTAGCCACACGAATTTCAGTCAATATGTCCAGAAATGATCAAATCAACCAATCCCGTGACGTAACTTCATTTTCGATTTCATTTTAATTTGACATTTTGTGTGGATGACAATGGTCTGATTGTGGTGTGAGGTAGATAGTGAGCATTAAGTCTGAACTAACTTTTATAATCTTTATTCTTATGGTATCTTTATGATAATTTCTGATCACAGCAAATGCTTATGTTTGATTCTAATCGTAAGCTGGAATACGAGACAGAGGATTTGTCGCTTTGTTTTGCTCTCGGAAGATTGCACTAAGATTTGATTTCCATCCTAACTTTCCTGGTATAATACTCTACTAGTTTAAGAGATTAACTTAGCTGTTAACGATTTAAATAATTCAGTGGTTATCTTTTTCTGTTGAAAGTAAAAAATATTGAATTCGAATCGCATGGTATGCAAGTGGGGTAGAATAAAAAAAAAAAAAAAAACTTAGCTAATTTTCATTAAACTCAATGCAGCAGGAGCATCAAAATTTTATTTTGGCATAAAGGCGTGGCACATTTATATATATACAAATCTGTGAAACTTGATAGAATTATGACTAAGGTTACATTTTGTTCGGTTGATAATGATGTCGCCTATTTGTTTTCTCTAAATAGTTGGTTAGGGTGTTGGAGGAGAAATTTTTTATAAGCTGGTTTCAAATAAGTGAATAATAGATATTAGCTATTAATTATTTCTAACAACCGTCATGAGTGGTTTAGCAAATTGGAAACATGTGACAATGATGTCTCTCAATATCTAATGATTAATAATTATTATTATTTATAATCTAAATACTATTGATTACGAAATATTAGCTATATTAATTGTAAACTATTATTAAACAAATAAACTAAACAAAACCTAACCTCTCTCTTGTTGTGTATCTGTACATGCTGCATATTTATCAGCCTCAGCAAGTAGGATGTAGATTTACTGGCAAATTGGAAGGTTACAAGGCAGGACTGACCCTAGGCATAGAGTTGTCTTTACGATATGTAAACATACTCCATGTTAGCATAGATGCTGAAAATCTGTCTTTGGTACTATTATATTGATTTCAGACCCTTGTGGAATGTATTCAATTTGTCCAGCAATCATGTCATCGCCATCAACTAATCTTCTTCATTCTACCCAAACTAAATATCTTCAATTCATGGTTATTTTATAGATAGGATTGTAGGGGAAGTAATGCATAGACAAATAAAAGTTGATTAACAGGGTCTGATAGAATCATATTCTTAATGTTTAAGCTCAACCACTAAGCTAAAATCAATTATTCTAATTGGGTATTCACTATCCACAAAGTCAATGTCATTGTGTGTATATAACAGATATTTTAACTTGGGACTCTTTATGATATCAATATGTTCCTTAACCACTACACCCAATATATATATTTAACATGGGACTCTCTATTATCTCAGTATTTTTCCGATTGGGTCTTAGGATGGTTGTTCTCCCGTTAAGACTTATATTAAATATTTTTTAAACATGAAGTCCATGTTACTATCATGTTCAATTTTAATTATTAGATAAAAATTTAATATTTTATGTAAATAATAATTAAAAAAATTTTATGGAGAAAAAATGTAAATAAAGATGTTAATTTTATTTTTTTATTTAAAATGTTAATTTTGTCAAAATTTTAAAAAATATTAATTTTTAACTTTTTTTATTTAAAAATGTTAATTTTTAATTTTTTAATTTAAAAATACCAACTTTTAACATTTTTCAATTTAAGAATTAATTGAATAGTAATGCTGGCATGATAAACGGACTTTTAAACTAGAATGTTAACGGTTAGTATTTTTAAATTAAAAAAGTTAAAAATTAATATCTTCATTTAAAAAAATAATAAAATAAATATCTTTAAATAAAAAAAGAAATATAAGGTTAACATTTTTATTTACACCTATCAAATAAAATTACTTAACGAAATCTATGATAAAAAAATTTCAATTATGATTTATATATTTTGTCAAATTTTAATCTAAAATTAATATCTAATAAATTAAAAAGTTAAATTAAAACAATTAAAGTTGAACCAGCTAAATAATATATGGCACACATATAATATATGACATGACTCTACGACTCTAAAACTAACTTTAATACTACAAACTTTAATACTACAAACTTTTCCCCAAAACTATGGTTATGGTTATCACCATGATTAATTTTGTTGGAATCACTAAAATTATTAAATTTTTATCTTAATTTAACTTTTAAAATAGTTAATAATTAATATTTTATTAATTTATTAAAATAAATAGAAAATTCTACATATCATAACTAACTATTTAAAAAAAATTATAAACTAATAAAATTATAATTAAAATTTGTAGTCTTAACAAAATCATTGGTGGCCTTAACTTAAGCCTCTCATCGTCACCTATATATCATTCATATATATTTGAAGAGTCAAAATCTATTTACATATAAATCTTAAATATCACACTTATATAAAATTTTAAAAATTTAT